TGCCTAGTGCAAAGTACATGCCTCTCTCTCTCTCTTTCTTTCTATCTCTTTCTCTTTCCTTGTAATTTGTGCATATTAGCACAACTAGGCGGTCGTCGGTCGTCGGTTCCTAAGTAATTGCCCCTAGGCCGAAGTTCGGCGCCCCTTGGGAAGACGACATGGTGTGGGTCAACTAAGTACTTAACTTACTCGAAAAACAATTGCTGCGGTTAGCTGGCATATGAAATCAGTCTAGCGTAAAGTTATGGCGGTCTACAGATAACAACCAAACAACTAACACAGCGAGCCGATACCAGGCAGATGTAGACGCAGTGGCATCGGGCATGGGGCACTCTCGGATCTGCAGACAACTTGATTTGTACGCACGTCAGGGTTTGTGGCTGATTTAATTGGTTGCGCCCCAGGAAAGCGTCTGTCTGCGTGTGCGGAAAAGTGTGAAAGATGTAGAACTCAGGGAAACACACAGAAAACTACAGGGAAATAAGAAAGCGATGCAAAAGGTATGAGAGACAGGCAGAGAAAATATCACTCGAAAACAACTAGAAATATGCTGAGAGAAAGGAAAGGAAAGCAAAGGAAGTTACAGCAGGAAATTTAAATGAAACATAGTTTCATAAKCATATTTATGTATACTAAGATATAACAGCTTAGACGTGACCAAGATATCTCTGGTTTAATGGAGAGCGGAACTAAAACTAATGGTTGACTAAATCTTCAAAGACAGTCTAGAAGTTGGGTGATAAATGTGTCCTGAGTAAGACTTTCTTGTTTTGAGGCGGGAAAACATAAACATCAATATAATTATTTTAATAACTAAAAAAGCTACAGAAAATCCTTCACTACTGAGTAAAACCACCATCCATTTGGCATAATCAATAGATATGGATTTGCTAGAAAGTTCATGAAGCTGTCTAACTCTTAGGCAACACTTGGCTAGGTGTATTCCATTTATGAATTATTATCTTGACATCTCAGACATTGCACGCCTTTTGATAGAGAGCTCACTCATAATATTATTATCTGAAGATTTCAGTTTAGCCACTTAGTGGAAAGGTGCTCAAGTGTTTTCCCACTCGGCAAAAGCAAACAAGATTTTAATACGCAAAACTCGAGTGTAGAGGCCGGCAGGCAAATTAATGGATGGTTCGATAGATAAGGTGCTCAGGGGATTCACTCTTATCTGCCTGAAAATTGGCAAACAGCCAATCAAAGCGAGGTAAATTAATGTTGCAGACGGTGCTTATCAGAGCCAATCCCATGGACAAAGAGGAAGAGAAAGGAAACCGGGATGGCTTAGACTAGACTTTCAATATGCTATGTTCCCAGATGGGATCTGATATGATATATGCTTACCCAGATGGTTGACTGAGTGTACGTAAGCCTAAGCGCTGCTTAAACTCAGACAATGTCAAGAGATTACATTACGACTGTCTTGTGTGTTTTCCAGTTGGTTAAGTAAACATGATCTTGACTTGTCATTGTCAATGGTAACCGAGCTGAAACGCTGAAACGTTGAAACACTGCCCGGCCAGTGCTGACAAGCTCTGAGCTACTTTTTGGCATCAATTACCTGTCACATCACGAAATTGGACTCACAAATTATAAGCATTTCACCTGGCCGACCCCCAAAACGGAATGGAAACACAACTGTGTCAAGCGCACAGGCACCAGCCCCCAGCCACCAGCCACTCGAACCCTCCTACTGCTGCGTTATTATTTCGACAATAAACCCTAATTATATTAGTTGGGAGACAGCTCTGTTGATATATTACCCGGAGGGGCCTCGCAGCAGGCAGGCGCAATCTGTAGTTAACAAATCGCGGTGAAAATCATAATGAGCGTTAGAAAACTCTACGTTTTTCCTGAACACAAACTTGAGATACACTATGGGAGTCGCTTGATGAACATTACAAGAAAAGCTGAGTTGAGTATTATAAATAAATTCAGATTTATGAGAGAAAAACTGATTTCAATACTGAAAACTAAGACTAAACCAGCTAGGGAATGTAGAAAATCACATTTTATAGACTAAAGATAAAGACTTCATTAAGAACATATGCTAATCAATTTATTTTATCATTGACATTTTGAGTTGTTGGTCCAGCCAAAAGCCTTTACTCTATATTGCTTGAAATGAGATAAAGAGAGGGATAGAGAATGAGGCACAGAAGAGTGAATGAAAAAACTAGCCAGAGATAGTCAAACAGAGGCATAAAGAGATAGAGAGGTATACAGATATGGAGAAAGGGTTTCAGGGAGAGAGTATTCAACTTTCGTCTAGTTGACTAGCATATCTTCCAGCTGGGATTTAATTTAAAGTCAGGCACCAATGCATGTCAAGCATGACAGTCAGCTATCAAAAGGCTGACAAAAGTCTGTATAGGTATCCAAAACACACACAATTCAAGACGCCAACAACAATAACAACGACAGCAACAACAACAATRGTAATGCGCCGACAACTCTTGGGAAAATCAGCAAATCTTTCTCTGGCTCTTGACAGCTGAAAAGTGGGCACATTTCTCTATCATTGTTGTTGCTAAATTCTGTTAATAGTTTTATCTCGTTTGTCAGACAGCGCACTCTGTATCTCTGTCCCTCTGTCCCTCCGCCTGTCCGTCTGTGTGAGTAAAATTTACAACGCAAATGCAAATGGGCTAAAGAAATGGAACTGCTGCCATGAGAACATTCGACTGCGTATATCTCGCAGTCAGCATCAAAAAGACACTTAAAAAGAGGCCATTGTTGCCCAACAGCCACTTCGAATGGACGTTTTTAATACTCGTTCATGCATTGGGAAGGAGTATATCGGCTTTGTCCAAAGTCCCTCTGGCAGTCTAGTAAGATATAATCGACAGCGAAAGTGTTGAGATTTTCGTGATAGGTTCACTATAGGCGAGGTAAATTGGGAAAGAAAAATTCCCTCTTGAGACTAAACTAAAATTAGGTATTTCTATTTATTTTATACTTTTGCACAACGAACGAGTATTGTGCAGTCTGTGCAGCACTCTCATTTGCTTTTTGTGTAACAGCTAAAGACAATTTGGCAAGGTGTCGGCTTAACACGGGGAGAAACTATACTTTTTACTACGACGACTATTATGAGCTATACCTGTCCGAAAAAAAAACGTAACAAAAAAATTATGCTGTGATAAATTTGTTGTGGCCAGGGAGAACCCGCTCTTATGGCAACATGATTAAAAGCGGATTACGCATGCGCGAAAGTTGGCGGAAGAGAACAGGTGATTTATCACCTGTGAGCTTAAGCCAGCGACTGCCAGCTGAAGTGTGCCAAGTCGTGACAAAAAATAAAAAAGAAATTCCTTTTTTGATTATACAGATATATTTAAAAATATATATATAATGGGAGAAAAATTTGAATTGACCAAACTCTAAAAAAAAAAAACAAATTCGTAATGTCATTTCCAACAAGCTTTGCTTCTTCTTCAACGACAGAGTGTGAAGTGAAGTGTCGAAAAGGATCAGCCGACTTTGTGAGGTGTGAAATATGTATATAATATCATCTTGAAATAAATATGCCTAGCGAATGAAGTTCTTATGTCTCTGTTTGGTAATTCAAGCCGGCTTAAATATACAAACGCAGCTTATAGAGTTTCCCTAAAAAGACACCAAAACTGAGCTTGGCTGACTGCATGGTTGAATGGTATATAAAGTAGATAGCCTATTGGGATCGCATCGCATATTTTTTTTAAAGAAATAAAATGGGTTGGTCAATTTCAAATTCATATATTGGCATCCAATCCCAAACTATCCAACGTGTGTTCCCTAGAAGTTTTATACATCATTCTGAATATGGGCACTCTAGCAATATAGAAGATCAATTACAGTATGATATAAAGTCAGCTGAATATCAAATTTCCACACTCTATAGCCAATATACTCAGTTCGGCTGAGGCGAGCGCGCATCGAGAGCGTTTGTTTTATAAAAAGTCATTCAACTCAATGGCAGACCCTTGAGAATTCGATACAAATTGTTACAATATGGCTGTCAATCAGTTTCTACGCCCGTCTGGGCGAGTTGCTTACCATTTTCACTGCTTTTGTGGATCGAAAAAATGCACAACAGCAACAACAACAGCAACTGCAACTGAAACAGCAGCAGCAGCAGCTTTGACAAGGCTCTGCCAACTGCATATGGCAATGAGACAGAAAAGGCAATACGAATAAATCGAATGGATCTACATTGGGGCAGAGAAGCCGAACACGTAATTGCATTGAAATTGCTTTACGCATTATTTGTATTGCTTTTTTGTGAATCAGATGAAATCTAAGTTGGAGAAGTCGTTGCCTTCTCTGCGTACACTTGGCTATCTCTCTCTCTCTCTCTCTCGCGCGCGCGCGCGCGCTGTCGATCTAGATAAACGCAACGATAACGGCATGCTTTCATACGTAATTTCTTTTACGATTGGAAATTAAATTAACTTGTTTGCCAGCAGCTATTACTAGCTGTAGTCCAACTCCGACTTCGTCTCGGAGTCCGCGGCGGTGCCATGCCCAATGTATGTAGCTRGCTGATCATTTGATTCATTTTGCAATCATTTCTCATAGATACGAGCATAGCATTGCTTTTGGCCAGGTAAAATTGTCATAATGACTCGGTTATGTGTGGGCCATTATATAAAATTTCACTTTTGCTACGCGTCCGAAAAGGCTGCCGGAGATCCGTCTCGGAGTCCGCGGCGGTGCCATGCCCAATGTATGTAGCTRGCTGATCATTTGATTCATTTTGCAATCATTTCTCATAGATACGAGCATAGCATTGCTTTTGGCCAGGTAAAATTGTCATAATGACTCGGTTATGTGTGGGCCATTATATAAAATTTCACTTTTGCTACGCGTCCGAAAAGGCTGCGGGGACAATTTGTGCGAATTTTCTCAGACAACCCCTGTTCGCTTAATGAGTACATTTATCGAATGCTCACTGTAGCTGTCTATCGACCTGTCGAATGTTGGTCAAAGCAAGTGAAAAAGTTTACGTCTGTGGCAAGTTACACAATCGTGCTTTATTCGTGAACTCAGAGCTTACTTGAAGCAGGGATCGATGCTGGGCAAGTTGCCATTGCAGAACTTCCAGGTGGACCAGGCCGGCCAGCCCTGCTCCGTGAGCACCTTCTGGGCACACCGCACGGACCTGGTAATGTCGTCCGAGAGTAGAGCCTTGCAGCTCACCCCACAGCCATTGGCCGACTTCTTGTTGTTGGGCGGCTGGCACCAGTAGCGATCGTTGATCTGGAAGATGCCGTAGTCATTGGAGCCATCCGAGTTGGGTGGACCCACCACGTCGGTACGATACGAGCTCTCGTGCTCCGCAATGCAGACCCACCTGGCCAGCTGATCTCGCGGAACGCAATGCCTGGCCATCTCCCGGGCCAAGGAGCAGCGATCCATGGTGCGAGCGAGGGCGGGTGAAGCAGCCCATGCCAGGGCCACCAGGAGGAAAACAACGAAGGACTTCATCTTCTCTCGGTATGCTGCTGAAGTGGAAACTGAAACAACTATTGCCCTCTGGCTGCGTGTGGTGCAATTTATAGCTGAGCCTCATTTGGAATCTCTGCAGTTGAGCAAGTAATGCCTGCCTGCCCGATAATGGTGTTGAAATACCAGATTCAACAATATCATTATTCAACACTATTAAAGTATTTCATATAAAAAGCATATCTGGTCACACTAAAATTATGACCCTTCTTCTTCTTCTGAATGTTCTTATCGTGGTTCAAGAAAACACTCTCTAAAATAAAAGATAATTTTAAACAAGTATGAAAGCTCTAGTCGACACAGCTCGACTACGAGATCCCCTGAACCTTTCGGCGAATTGATATTTGAACTTTCAGACAAGTCTCTAGTATTTATCTAGTATTTGAAATACGTGGTGAGGGGGTGGATAAAGAGGTGGGGGTAAATTATAACAAAAATCGAAATTTTATAGAGTACATCGGAATCTATATTTATTTTTTCAAGTCTCTAGCTCTTATATCTTCTGAGATCGGCTCGTTCAAACATAGGGACAAATGGACAGACGGACAGGGCTAAATCAATTCCGCTCGTCGCCTTGATCAAGAGATATATACTTTGTGGGGTCTGCCACGCCTCCTTCTGCCTGTTACATACATTTCAACAAAACCATTATACCCTGATTCACATCGCATCAGCAATTTGGTAGCTAAATTTCGCTCTAATACTGTAGCCGAATACGAAGAAACTTTCTCAACTACGACTCAGCAAGTGGCCTGATCATATTAATCATTGTTAATAATAGACGCGAACTTTTCTAATCTGCAGCTGCACGCGCACTTCTCCGATGAATTCTGTGCCTCTGACCATTCAAAGTCTTGCCTTTCAATATCTTATCAAAGACCCAAAGGCGGAAGAAGTTTATGTCTTGCAAATTGCAAGCTTTGGGGCTCTATCAATGGGCATACTGATAAGATTTGAATGGATTGAAACTCCCCACAGACACGGACATATATATTCATATGTGTATTCATATTCATATTCATATTCATACCCATATTCATATGCTCCAACAATAACCTCGCACGCATGTTAGCCCAGTCGCAATTATCGCAGCGAGCTCCATAACGTAACTAATTCCAAATATTTAGCCAGATGGCATTGTCTTGGCTTGGGGTCTGCTGTTCACGCAATCCGTGAGGTTGCATGCTTTGTTGCAGTTATTTATTCATTGTGCGGCATTCGAGCTATTTCAGTCTGAAATTGCACTTGATTTTTCTTTCACGTGCAGCTCGTAGGCCAAATTCCCAGCTCTTTTTGCGCTACAAGTTTAACGTCCGATCGTAGGTTAGACTTTTAATATCGTTTTCAATTCATCTACATCGACTCCGCTTGACTTCACTTGACTGTGCTCCCAAATCCAAGGCGTCAAGGTGACCCCAGAAATGCAGCAGAAGAGTCCCAACAGATTACAGCTACATGGACAAGGTCTATCAGGCCCATTGAAGCCTCTCCCATAATGCGCCCTTTCTAAGTAGCCCACTGAAAATGAAAAAAATTTACAACACATATTTATACACCTCAGCATGACTACAGAGGCCCTTGGCCCATTGCAGGCAGCAAAACAATTATGTTAATCAGAGCCAACGAGTTCGGAGTTCCCTTTCTCTATGGAACTCGATTCAATGAACCTTTGCAAGCAAACAATGTTGCAAGATCTCTTGTTAATAATCGTAATAAAAAGAAGACAAGCCATTTTACACACGATTATATGGAATTATTACACATATGCCAACGATTTTCTAATCGATTTTATCAAAGCTCACTCTAGTTCATATTTCCATGACATTCAGCTTTTTAATATATGACATGATTCCCCTTGAGATGCACATATGTATGATATAATTTATATACTCGGGTATATGTATCATCAGCATATACATACACATATATCTTTTTGTAATGCTCATTGATTATGAAAAGTCATTGGTTATAAATAGTCAATCATTTATCATACTTATAAATGGACACGATTGTCTTTCGACGCCTTTAATCCATTGGATTATCAACGCAAGTACCCTAGTAAAATAGGTATATAAAAGGGATCGGTTCATTCTATGAAAGCGACTTTAAATTTAAATCGTACTCCAAAATATAATGGGATAAAATTAACAGATCTATCAATATTGATTGTAGTTGTTCACGATACGTATACGATCGAATTCTAATACGATTTAACTAAACAAATAGAGATTCTTTGCTTGGGGCATACTTTACTGGAATGCCGAAAGGAATACTGAAATTGTTAATACAAAAAGTTGCATTAAATACTTCATTTGAATTGACTCTCAGTATTATTATCTAAGTTGATAGCTCTTTGCCGTTCTCGGTCTCTCTCTTTCTTTCTCGCTCTCTCTCTCTCTCTCTCTCTCTCTGCCTCTCTCTCTCTCTCTCTCTCTCTCTCTCCCTCTCTCTCACTCTTTCTTTTTCTCTCGATCTAGATAAACGCAACGATAACGGCATGCTTTCATACGTAATTTCTTTTACGATTGGAAATTAAATTAACTTGTTTGCCAGCAGCTATTACCAGCTGTAGTCCAACTCCGACTTCGTCTCGGAGTCCGCGKCGGTGCCATGCCCAATGTATGTAGCTRGCTGATCATTTGATTCATTTTGCAATCATTTCTCATAGATACGAGCATAGCATTGCTTTTGGCCAGGTAAAATTGTCATAATGACTCGGTTATGTGTGGGCCATTATATAAAATTTCACTTTTCGCTACGCGTCCGAAAAGGCTGCGGGGACAACTTCAAGGAATTTAATTCAATGAATCTTTGCAAAGAACATTGTAAGATTTATTAAAAATATGATACAAATTTTACGTATGCTCTTATCAAATTGTTTGATAAATGCCATCGCTAAAATGCCAAAACGCTAAAAGCAAACATTTCGTATTTGCGTCACGTTTCTTTCTTGAGTGTATCGTTCGATTGTACTCGAAATGTACATACTTCATTGAAGTGTATATATTTATTTCATATTCGTATGTATATATATTCATATGTATATATATCTCTATGTAGATTATAGTTCTTCATTGATAAATAGCGAAACATTGATCACAATTACAAGTGGACATGATTGACTACGGTTCGATGCCTTTAATCAAAATTGATTTATGAACTCGAACACCCTACAGCGATTTGCTGCTGCATATCAGCTCGAACTAATATAAATGTTGCTTGTTATGACCAATACAAGACAAGCTATCCAAGTTTGGAGCTTTACAAGTTGCTGTTGGAGGGTATTCGACAGTCACACACACTCATACACAATGGCATTTATATTTTGATTAATTGGCAAAATCTATTTGTTTTGTTTTGGTTTCTTATATTTGTCATATTTTGTTTTGCTTTCATTAAGAATTTTGTCGTATTTCTTATCAACAGCCAGGAGTAGAAGTTTCTAGTTTCAATTTGTTTATTTTTTTCCTTCTTTTGCGGAAACATTGTTTATAGAGATAAGACAAGGCCAAGGCTTTGATTAATGCAGTGCAAGCAGAGTTATCATAGCTGTGATATGGAAAGCCAAGATCTTAGTTAACTGAACTTTGATTTGAATTTAACCAACTATCGATGCCATCTAGCGGGCTGCACGAGCTGTCTCGGCATCCATCCATTATGTGTCGCAGTTCATTTGTGAAATGCTGATGTGTACACACTGGCACCTAAATGCGTTTCCATTAGGCGCTTTATCAGCGCGCACTGCCACTCCACTGATCTCAATTTTCGTTTTCTTTCGGCTTTTATGATTTTCTTGAAATTGATTTATGCAAATCGAATGCAGCTTCCAGCCGTTGGATCGTGTTCAATTTGCTGCGTTTGGCTTTTTGTGTGTGTTTTGATCTTTCATCACTTTTCTCCGATTGATTGGTGAGAGTGTACTGATTAGTGAGGGGGGAGGGGGGAGGTGCGCACTCTGTGGGAAACGCTTGGCAAATTGCCAAACACACGTCGCGACGTTAACGTTTTTACTGGCTTAATCATGGATATCAATTGCCCACCTCCCTCGCATGCCAAGGTGTACGAGCGCTGCCTTGAGCCATGACACACCTGTCCGAAAGAACCAGGTAGATGCCGTAGAAGAGAAGACATGCTTAAGTATGCAGCAACGTGACTGATGCGTTCAATTGATATCAAAATAAACCATATACCAGCACATATACAGTCATATATATGTAGATACATATGTATGTATATAATGTTAAATTTCTTAGCTTTGCATCGAGGCACGTCATAATTTCGAATTGAATCTCATTTGCATATGCAGACGCGCGCAGTTACCGTTAGAGCGCATTGTCAGCTAACGGTGCATATGGTCTTTTATCTCTGCTGCTGACTAGCTGACTCGCTGACTCGCTGAGTCGCCGACTCGCTGACTCGCTGAGTAGCGGAGTAGCTGAGTAGCTGCCAAGCTGTCTGAGTGAAAGTGCGCGCCTTTATTTCTGTTTCGCTTATTGACATGTTAATTTTTTGACAATATTTTCGCTTACGCACGAAAATAAAGAGCGCATTGAGTAACAACAAATCGGCGAGTGGAGCTGATGCTTCCATGATGTTTCCATCTGAGGCTTCAATCAGTCGCTGACGGTCGCCGATGGAAGCCCACACTCATGTCACTGAATGAGTCGTTGACAGTGCCAAGAAAATGCTGAACAAACTAAATGGCTTGTTTTTCCGGTGCGTTACGTGCCGCCCAGTTGCACTCCTGGCCAAGACCAGTCTCTGATAATTTATATACATATATATGTGCATACTCATATACGAATGCAAATTCGAGTTCTGCATGAGAAATGTGCAAATTCGTTTTAACGACTTTTTAATTTTTTTCTTTTTTTTGTCTGTTTCATTTGCAGCGACAGCTCCACGCACCACTCACAGATGGCGCCCAGCGTATGCGATAAGTCGCCCAAATTGCCGCCACATAATGCAGCACCAGCACCAGCACCGGCAACGGCAACGGCAACGGCAACGGCTACCGGTGCCGCTGCTGGCCAGGCTCAGGCCTCAATACCAGCCTCGTCCAGCGGGTCGGGCACAAATAAGTATGGAGCCAACAGCGTGAACGGTTCGTTGGCCTCCTACAAGATGGCCGGCTCGGAGCAGAGCTGGCCGCAGGCGCCCGTCTACAGCAAGGAGAATCAACGGCCGCCCGTCTACAATCCCGAGGACTATGTTCTCTCCTTGCGCAAGTTCACCAAGGGCAGCTCGTCTGGCTCGGCCAAGCCTCAATCCATCTACGATGTGAACATCAATGGCCAACTCCAAGCGGCCGGCAAGGAAGATGCCTACAAGTCCGCCACGCTGCCAGCCAAGCACTCCGGCTACAAGTAAGTATTTGACCCCATCATAGGCTATCAGGCGCACATTAACCTGATATTTGTTATCCACAGGAGTCCCATTCCGGCGCCGCCTGAGAGCGACAGTGAGATGTCCCTGCGCCAGTTTGGCTCCATAACCGATCTACTGACCAAGCTGCGAGCCGATCTTAGGGTGTCCTTCCCCAGGTAAGACAACTGCACAGTGGAGATGCGTCTCAGTCGGAGATCTTACGGCGACAGCCACTCGAAAATGAGAAAAACAACATAGCAGAAGTGCGTTTTAGACCATTATTTATTATATTCAAGAATCAAGAAGGGGAGAGTAGCTTAGAAGCAGTCGTTGATGGAGGGGAGAGCACCGTTGCAGTACTTCCAGGTGGACCAGGCAGTCCAGCCCTGCTGGCGCTGGATCTTCTGGGCGCAACGGACGGAGTTGGTGATGTCATCGGTCAACAGGGCGTTGCAGCTGAGGGCGCACTCGTTGTAGGAGAAGCGACCGNTCGATAACTCATCCCGATCTTTTTTTATCGATAAAAAACCTTATCGAAAACCAGTTATAAAATTATATCTTCTACACCTTTATTGCTAGAGTCTCCAAATTTTTAATGTATGCTTATATGCAATTTATACAATTTCGGTTTTTGTTAAAATTTACCCCCCACCCTTAAATTCACCCCCTCACCCTCACTTTTGTAAAAAGCGTATTTCAAATACTAGAGACTTGTGCTTTGGCAATTACATGCATATCCATGTTATAATCATAATCTGAAAGTTTCATGAAGATCGTACGTCCATAAAAAAAGTTATTAAACAATTAAGTTCTCATAGTAAGCGCACACTGCAGCCCATGCGTGTTTATGCGTGGGTGCTTGTGTGTGTATGTGTTTGTGTATGTGTGTGTATGTGTTTGTGTATGTGTGTGTGTATGTGTATGTGTGTGTGTATGCGTTTGTGTATGTATGCGTGTGTGTGTGTGTATGTGTGTCTGTATGCGTGTGTGTGTATGTATGCCTGTGTGTGCGTACGTGCCTGTGTGTGTGTGTGTGTGCGTGTTTCTTGTGTAAGCTGAAAGACGCGAAAAATTATTGAAATATCTATTGCTCCAAGGGTTCAGGGGATCTCGTAGTCGAGCAGTCTCGACTAGAGCTTTCTTACTTGTTTAAGTAGGTCTAGAGATAATGTGGCATGATGCAGTCAGTGTATATTATACAAGTCCGAGTGCAGGGTAAGATTCTTAATTGTCTTTTGATTTCTCGTTGCAGCTTCGTGCAGGAGTTTGTGACCACGCCCTCGGATGGCATTAGCCATTTGCTGGAGGTGCTGCGTGCCATTCAGATGGCGCAGGCGAGCAATGCGCCCGCCCCACAGGCAGCTGGCACCAATTCGCTGGCCATGTCGCGCAATCCGCAGAGCTATCAGCGCCGAGCCTTGCTCGACGAGCTCTCCTGCCTGTAAGTAACCGAATCTATATCTTGTCTTAAGAAATCGCTGACCCCGTCTCCTGTCTCTCTTTTTCGCTTCCGATCGTCGCCAGACAATGCCTGAGCATTTGCTGTTCCCGCTCCTTGGATGCCATCGCCCGCTTGGGCACCACACCGGTGGGTCTCATGCCACTCGCCTCCTCGGCCACGGGACAAGGCATACGTGGACGCATCCTGGCTCTGCAGCTGCTCGCCGCTGCCTGCGATCGGCAGCCGTTCGGTCAGGGCAATGGTGGGCAGAAGATCAGCGCCGCTGGCCACACCGCCGTCTCGGAGGCGATGTCCACGCTGCGACTGCGCTGCAGCGAGCCCGTGCGCTTCCGGCTGCTCATCGGCATCCTCAACAGCGGCGGTGGCTCGGGAGAACTTCAGTGCGCTGGCATCAAGTGAGTAACTACGCTAGACTCTAACCAACAGCTGCTCAATCAGCCCGTTGTTCCTTATAGATTCCTCAACACATTCATCGAGAGCGCCGTCAGCCTGCAGCAGCGCTTGTACATCCAAGCGGAGCTCTGCCAGGCTGGTCTAGAGACCAGCACGTTGGCCAGAACCATATCCTCCTCCTCGCCCTGGCTGGATGCGCTGCGGGCCGAGATCAAACGCTTCAATGAGCTGCACATCGACGTGGACAAGATGATGGCTCAGGCGCGCGATGCCGATCGAGTGCGCAGCCAGATGGTGATCTTGGAGCGTCGAGTCCAGATCTTGCATGAGGAGAAGGCCGTGCTCACATCGATGGAGCGACGCCTGCAGGAGCGCTGCGCAGAGCTGCAGCGCGAGATCTTTCGGCTGCAGGGCGCACAGGAGTCGAACTTCAAGCCCGTGGAGGCGCATCAGCCTGTCGCACTGCCACGCCAGGTGCCGCCCACCTCGAAGACAGCAGCGGGCAGCAAACAGAGCTGCTCGGAGCACGAGGACGAGGGCATCAGCAGCAGCGAAACGGGCGCCTCTCTCAGTCCTGTGCCCATACTGGTGCTGCCCTCCAAGTCCAAGCATCACAAGCAGTCGCGCAAGGCTACGGCGCGCAAGGGCGAGGAGGACGACGAGGACGCCGCTACCATAGAGGATGTCATCGAGGAGCTGGACAACATAGTGAGCGAGGCAGAGAAGCAAATTTCCAGCCAGACCCCAACAGCCAAGTCGGGCCAGACTGCCCACACCAGGCAACAGCAACAGGCACAGCAGAAGCAGCAGCAGCATCAGCAGCGCAGACTCGAACAGGAGCAGGACATTGTGCCGGTTAACATTGTGCCACAGCCGCCACGCAAGTCCCGATCCTTGGCTCACCTAGTGCCGCGCACGGACTGCTCCGAGCCAGAGGACTCGCAATATGGCATGCTCATACCAGCGGATACGACGGCCGTCGAGCGTCTGGCTGCCATGCAGACGTTCTTCGATGAGGTGGACTACGACAGCACGGACAGGGAACTGGAGCTGGAGCGGTCCTACGCACTGGACGCGCCCTCGACCGAAATGCCCGAGGCGGAGCCAAGCGCCGCCGCAACGGCCTACAATGCGAGCACCAATCGGGAGCTACTGGATGTCATAATGAATGCGCGGCACGACGACAACGATCCAACAATGCTGGCATTGAGGAACAGCAGCCAGGAGACGGTGCAGCACGAGCGACAGCAGTCGAGCAAGACGCCAGCACCGACGCCGCCCGCGCAGCATTTTAACGGTGTCTTCTTTATGACTGGCATGAATACGCCCCAAAAGTATCCAAAGCCCGATCTCACCGCCGCACTGCAAGCACGCCGAGTGACCAAGAATGTGGAGCGGCTCGAGGCAGCCTTCGCCGATGGCCAGGCCCACAACAACGAGGGAAACAATGTGCGCGAGAAGTCGCGAAGCAATCAACAGATCTATTTCAGCAGCAATCCGGCAATGCGCTGCTCGGTGCTCGACTACCCGGGATCGGGTCAGCTCACTGGCCAGATCTCTGCTCGCACGCGCTCCTACACGCAGGGCTCCAAGGTGACGGACCTACCCTCGGGCTTGTACTGAAGCCCCACCACCTCGTCCAGATACTCCTGTGCTCCTGTGCAATACAAACGAATAGCTCCTAGGCTAACGATATATACTCGTCTATACATAAGTCTTATTTTTTCCATTCACTTTTCGTTGATTGCTAGAGGATAATATAGGTCTTCATATTTCGTAGCATAGATTGGGTGGCAGCTTCAATCGGGTACCTTACTCTTAAGTCATTCCCTATGTCTAGATTACGGCAGTAATATCATATTTATATTTTTTACAATAAATAATTTAGTAGATAAAAGCAATCAGAATTGTTTCATTGGACTGTGGATGTGGGTGAATTGGTAGTTAGGTAGGAAGGAATAGACGCATAGAGAGAGAGAGGGAGAGAGGGCGAGCGAGAGATAGAGATAAATGGAGAACAAATAGAATTCGAATGAGACAGAAATATAGAAATAGAGCAGTAAATAAATTAATACGGATTTATTTTTAACAATATTTATTTTCATTTTGCTTTTTCTAGGAGGTATTCATTTGCTTCGAGCTAAAAAGCAAAGTAGTGCAAGCTGCAGTATTCATCATGACTCGTCAGAATACCAAGCCGTACCTCATACAGTCTATTTGGCTCTCTTGCAGTACATTGTATTCTAAAATATCTCTAATTTTTCAGTTAAAGCGCATCTTCAATTAAAATTTAAAAATCAACAGTTACAAATATCTCCTTACAAAATATAGTTGCATAATTTTAGGGGCCTGTTGTTGTGGCCGTTGGGGCCAAAATTTGAAAAAGATAACATTTTATTATTACAGAATAATGTTATTACTCTGTTAACTGAAAGTATGGTAACAGTACACTGTTAATGGTAATGCTAACGAGTATTTTACACCTACTTCTGATTTCTGTGCGCCTGGTATTTCACCAAAATAGCTATAGAAATGCTGGAAGCACTAGGCGAACAGAAATGAGTAGAAGGTTGAAAAGTGTTAGTTAACAGTATATTAGCAGTACACAATTACCGCACTTTTATTACTCTGTTAAATAACAGTATGGTAACAGTATACTGCTAATGGCAATGTTAACGAACATTTTGCACACTACTCCTCATTGCTGTGAGCCGGGTATTTTACCAAAATGGCTGTAGTAGTTTAGGAAGTACTAGGCGCACAGAAATGCGTAGTAGGGTGGAAAATGTTAATTAACAGTGTATTAGTGTAACACTGCTGTTTCACTGTTGTTTAACATAATCAACACTGTTTAAGAACAGTGGGTTATAAAACACTGTTAAGTAAAATGTAACTTAATTACTGTATACCTCCCTACTTCTGATTTCTGTTCATCTGTTAACTTACAAACATTTTCGTTAAACTTTTGCTCTCAGCGGCAGCATAGCTGATCGCTGCGGAGATAAAAAGAGGAAACGGTGCACCTGATAAAGCAAATCACATCAATTTTCAATTTAAATTTAAGTCAGAACTATGTAGTTTTAAAATTTTTCCGATCCGCCCACTAGAGGCATTGAAAATATATAAATAGATAAAAGTCAGTGTTTCAAGTAATTTTGTATTATATTCAAGAATCAAGAAGGGGAGAGTAGCTTAGAAGCAATCGTTGATGGAGGGCAGAGCACCATCGCAGTACTTCCAGGTGGACCAGGCAGTCCAGCCCTGCTGGCGCTGGATCTTCTGGGCGCAACGGACGGAGTTGGTGATGTCATCGGTCAACAGGGCGTTGCAGCTGAGGGCGCACTCGTTGTAGGAGAAGCGACCGCTGGCAGGCTGGCACCAGTAGTAGTCGTTGATCTGGAAGATGCCGTAGTCGTTGGAGCCGTTGTAGTTCTCGGGGCCAACAACGCCGGTGCGGTAGGAGCTCTCGTGCTCGGCAATGCANACGGACAGACGGACAGACGGACAGACGGACAGACAGACGGACAGGGCCAAATCAACTCAGCTCGTCACCCTGATCAAGAATATATATACTTTGTGGGGTCTGCCACGCCTCCTTCTCCCTGTTACATACATTTCAACAAAACCATTATACCCTGATTTCCCATTGAAAATGGGTTCAGGGTATAATTATGAGCTAACTTAACAATTAAAGCACTGGCTACTAAGGCCTTCGGCTTGCTTATATGTATATGTATATTTACATAAGTGTGCGATTTTTATTTACATTTGTATAAATATGTTATCTTTTTGTTTAAATCAATATTTTTAAATTAGCTGATATATGTTGCTATATTTTAAAAACTTTATTATTTTGTGTAAGTTTTCGGGAGAGGGGTTAGTAAGGAGCGACATGGGACAGTTKTTGTGGAAGATTTGGGTTTTGAGGTCTGATGTGGTGGGGCAGTTGAGTAACATGTGTTGGATGGTAAGATCTGTGGTGGTGTTGCAATTAGGGCATAGTAATGTGTTGCCGGGGCTGAAGTGTACTTGTTTAGAGAATATTGTGTGTCCTAGTAGGAGTCTAAGTATTTTGATTTGATCACGACGTGTAACAGTTTTTGGGTTAATATTCTTTAAGTAGTTATTTGTGTGTATTAGGTTTGTATTTATTTGTCGGTACCAGTCCTTGCATAATTGAATGTTCTTCTTTAATTTTTGAGTTAGTATGTTTGTAATGCATTTGTTAATGTGTTGAAATTTGGGGTGCTAAAATTGGGGGTACAATGAAGGGGCATTTTTATTGTGTCTTTGGCTGTAGTGTCGCCTAGTTCGTTCCTCTCAATGCCGCAGTGGCTGGGTATCCAGAGCAGTTTTATTTTTGGGGAAGATTTGGTAAGGAGTGTTCCTATAAGTACAGGGTATAGGTTGTTGTTGTTGATGTTGGAGATGGATTTAATGGATGAAAGGGAGTCTGAGCAGATTAAGTAGTTTCCTGCATTTTCCTTTTGGATTATTTCTATTGCATGAAGCATGGCTAAGGTTTCGGCGGATAGAATAGATGAGTAGTGGGATAGAATGGATCTTTTTAGGACTTCGGTCTCTGTTGTGATGGCAAAGGTGGCTGTGTCGCTTTGCAGCGATCCGTCTGTGTATATGAATGTGTGGTTTTTGTTTTTATTTTTAAGTAATAGAAATTCTTGTCTGTATATGCTTGGTGAAGTATTGGCTTTGTTAAATTTTTGTAGTGTTGTATTGATGAGAGAAGTTGGAAAGAGCCATTGTGGGGTGATTGTTTTAGTTGGAGGTGGGAGGTAGGGGATATTGAGTATTTTACATGATGTTATGGTTTTTTTGTAGGGCTGATGTTAATTTGGATTTTTTTTTTGGTTAACCTTTTGTTTGAGGTATTTATGGAGTGTTGAATTTGAGCTATGCAATAGTGTTTTATAAGATTTAATTGTTATTATGTCTCTTTTTTGCTCTATTGTTGGTATGTTGGATTCAAATAGTAGGTTGGGAATGGGTGTTGAGCGTAGTGCTCCTAGGGACATGCGGATTGCTGCANATACATAATATATAAAATATTTTTATATAATTCCTTTAAATATTTAAATATCATAGTTTTCCGCAAATATTTGAGCTTGTAAGGTTTTAGAGCCATAGGTTGCTAAATTGAACGATAACGATATTTTATATTTTAACGATAACGATATGAGATATACCATCGAGTGCATAAACAACATAGCATAACAAGAAATTGAATTTTTATTAGAAAAGTAATTGCTATTAGGTCATTTCCAATAACACAAATGTGGGCTTTTGAATTAATTTTCTTTTATAACTATTGCAATAATTCGTATGTGTAATTTGCTCATTGCTATAAAACTTGTTGAGTGAGCTACCGATTCAAAGGAACGAAAGGTAGAACGTTGAACGAACTTGTTATCAAGAGTAATTCTTTCGGTCGGACGGGACGGCTTGTAGTTACTTTAATCAGCAAAAAGCAACGACGAATTAGCAGTGAATTAAAAAAAGTGTGCAAAATAAAAGCATTTGGTGTTGAATAAGCGGCGGCGAAATGTTTAACGGTTGGTTTTGTTATAAATTTGATACATTGGCTAAATTCAACTTGGACAGCAAAAATAACATTCGACGACTAACACAGGCACACTACACACAGACGCAATCAAAAGAAAGATAATTGAAAAGCATTCTCTCATATTGATTGAGTGGCACGCCAAATTGAAACGGGGAAAGAACGAGAAATGTGGCGTTACAGAGTGCAAGGCTAGCAAGACGGAAGGGCACCGCATTAATGTTGGCCAAAAACTGTTGCCCTTGTTTAAACGTATATAATATGCATAAAAATCATTCAGAGCACAAAGCATTTTATCAGTTTATCTAGTTGAGTCACGGTTGAATCGCTGCAAAAAAAAAAAAAAAGAAAAAATGATGAGGGCACACAGCAACGGCCCTCACATTTCTATACTCTATCCGAGACATGTGTCATAACGGTTTCAATAAGACGATTGTGACGAACAAATGTACATATATACATACATCTATGAAAATAATTGCGGTAGTTAAGTGCTCATCTTAGAGATGAGATGAGTGCAATTATTTTCTGCTATTTCTAGAACACGAACCAAGCCAATGTTCCGAATCACGCGCAGTCGTTCCCCCAGCTAAGAATGTTGTTCCTACGTTGCTCGTGTCACGCGTCCCACTCTAACTTACTAGCTAATATTTAAGCTTAGGGCAATATAACTAAATGGCCAGTTTGGCCTAATGGATATGTGCAACTATTTGCAATTATTTGTGTAGAGCATCGGATGTTATTGACTTGTTGGCAACAATGCATTGTTTTGCCCTGTCCCCTGTTCATTCGTTCGCTCTCTCCCTCTCCCTTCTTGCTTTCGGATAGAGAAAAATCTTCTACGTAATAAGCGCAAAATCCGCAACTTACAATTCATATTGCTAATACATTTATTTTCTGTAGATTCATCGCTTACACATTCAAATCTCAAATCGCACTGACATTTTTGCCCTCCATCTGTATAACATCATAATCAAGAAAGATTCCAAAGTTCAAATACGCATCATATACATACCTGCTGATATATACGGAAGCCATGGCTTGGATGGCCTTTGGAGCACTCGCCTCTGGCTTTGGTATTTGCTTCTCAATGTTCTATGTTTGATGTTCGTAATTGTTATGATTGTTGGTATTGTTTTTTCTTGCGTTCTGTCCTTTTTACCAATTGTTGCGTCTTACTGGACTTTGCGGTTTTATTGTATTTTTATTATATGTATTTATTTGCTTACTTGAACTTACAGTGCTGCAGCGCCTGCTGGGCGGAGATACCCCGCCGAACAAAGTTCTGGAAATCAAGAGCGAATCGTTGGGCACCTTGCAGGTTATGGCGAGGGATGATGCAATGGTTCTGTTCGCACCGCCCTACAACAGCAGCGATAAGCGCGCCGTCTACGAGATTGTGCTGCAGCGACCCACCTCCGATTCAAACACCACTTCCTTCAGTCTCTACCGTTCGCCCGTCCAGCAGGAGGCGGAAGAGAAGTTCAATACCTTTATGCAGCGTCTGCCTGTCTTTGTGGGCATTGTCAAGGAAGTATGTGACCAGCATAATGGCATCAGAAACAATCATATTAATTATTCTCCGCTTGCAGTATTACAATGTTAATGGATTGCAAAAGGTGTGCGATGCCCTCTCGGATAACCCGTCGTGGACGTTGGCCCATTTGGTTGCCTACTTCAATCTGGTTGAATATATCAGCAATCCCAAGGTGCTGCAGTGTATCGATGTGGCAGATCATACAACACTCATGTCGCCGTTTCAGCTGGCCATCAAACAGGGTCACATAGAAATGGTAAAGCTGCTTTTGCCTCTTAGCAAAATCGAGCACTTGGACATAAACAGCAATTCGGTATTCCACTATGCCGCCAGCACATCCAAAGAGATCATCAATGTGAGTGACAGTCGAAGACTTGGTTAGATCTGCTCTCAACCATTCAACTGTTCCGCTTTCGTTGCAGCTGCTCACGGAGAACAGCACTGTAAATCTGAACCACCTCAATTCGGACGGTTGCACGCCGTTGCATTTGGCCTGCTTGACAGACAAGCCCGAGAATGTGAAGGCTCTGCTGCTCGCAGGCGCCGATGTCAACCTGAATGCCAAGAATATAAGCAAACTGTATAAGACATCGACACCCACATCGGTGGCCTCGTTCCTGCGCACCAATGCCAGCAAGCTCTACACCCAGGATATGAAATATGGCGGGACACCATTGCACTGGTGCTCCTCTCGAGAAACCCTGCACGCCCTCATCATGGAGGGATGCGATGTGAATGCCACCAATTTCGATGGACGCACCGCACTGCATGTTATGGTGGCTCGCAATCGCTTCGAATGCGTGGTCACGCTCCTGGCGCACGACGCAGATATCGATGTGCTGGACAATGAGGGGAATGCTGCTCTACACATTGCTATCGAGAAGAAACTAGTGCCCATTGTCCAATGTCTGGTGGTCTTCGGCTGTGACATCAATCTGAAGAACAAGGCGGGAAAGACGCCGCGTCACATGGTTGGCAACGATGCCAGCGGCAACAAGGAGGACGAAATATTATACATATTGCATTCGGTGGGTGCCAAGCGTTGCTCCGACCCGAATTCAAAGTGTCCGCCCGGCTGCAATCCCAAGGGCTCCTACAATGGCATACCGCCAGAGGCACCAGAATCCGTGGAGCAGAGAGAGCACATTGAAAATATGCTGGCAACCACCAGTCGACAAATGGTCAGCGGCTTTCTGGGCGCAGCAGCCAATGGAATCATTGAAAAACAGCAGCCCCCACAGTGAGTAGATAGAGATACGATTTGTTTACTTTTACTAAACATTCATACCTTCCATACAGAATGCCTGTTGTCGTTGATACGGAGAAAGAGCAAAAGGGTCAGAGTATCATGGACGCTCTCTTGGGCATGTTTACCACTAAAGTGAATGCAGATGAGAAGGAGAACTCATCGAGTAGCATAGCTAGTGCTACGGCCACGCCGCCATCGGGCATAGCTAGTCCAGAACAGCTGCCGTCGCCCACATCTCCCATTGCTCCAGAAGTCGGCGATAAGCCATACGGACGCGGGCGTCTGCTATGCTTGGATGGCGGTGGCATACGTGGCCTAGTGCTCGTCCAAATGCTACTCGAGGTGGAGAAGCTGTCGCGAACGCCCATCATACATATGTTCGATTGGATCGCCGGCACCAGCACTGGCGGCATACTGGCCTTGGGCCTGGGGTGTGGCAAGACCATGCGGCAGTGCATGGGTCTCTACCTACGCATGAAGGAACAATGCTTTGTGGGCTCGCGTCCGTATAATAGCGAATACTTCGAGGCAATACTTAAGGATAATCTGGGCGAGTTTAATGTCATGACAGATATTAAGCATCCCAAGATTATGGTGACTGGAGTTATGGCAGATCGTAAGCCCGTCGATCTTCATCTGTTCCGCAACTACACCAGCGCCAGTGATATACTAGGCATTGTGACTTCCATAAGTAAGAACAATGAAATTAAATTAATCACTTCATCTCGGATCTAATTCACATTTCAATTGATGAACTTTGCCAGGTAATCGACGCATACCGCCGCCACAGCCTGAGGAACAGCTAGTGTGGCGTGCTGCTCGTGCAACTGGAGCAGCTCCATCATATTTCCGTGCATTTGGACGCTTTCTGGACGGCGGACTTATCGCCAATAATCCAACATTGGATGCCATGACTGAAATCCATGAATATAACATGGCGCTACGTAGTGTTGGACGCGAAGCAGAAGCTGTGCCGGTCTCAGTGGTTGTTTCGCTTGGCACGGGTCACATACCCGTCACGGAACTAAAGGATATTGATGTATTCCGGCCTGAAAGTATCTGGGATACGGCTAAATTGGCTTACGGCATATCTACGATTGGTAATAGCGACACGTTTTTTTAATGAATTGTAACAGTTTATTGATTGATTGCCTCCAACTTGCAGGTAATCTGCTTGTGGACCAGGCCACTTGCTCGGATGGACGGGTCGTTGATCGCGCCCGCGCCTGGTGCAGCACCATTGGCATACCTTACTTTAGGTTCAATCCGCAGCTGAGCGAGGACATTGCCATGGACGAGAAGAACGATCAGAAGCTTATCAATATGCTTTGGCACACCAAGGCGTACATGCACACCAATCGTAACAAAATTATTGAGATGATCAATTTCTTGAAATAGCGCGTAAGACGGATTTAGACCGCTACAATTGGCATTTAGCTTCAAAAGTTTACATTTTACCACAGCTGTGTATTGATCTTCTTTATTTGTTTTATAAACTTTTCTCAGCACCCTTTCCCGCGGTCTAAATCACACCCACCCACCCACACGCACACACACACACACACAGAAACAACTAAACACACTACGCACACCACTCTTTTAACATACTGACCCAGTCGAAAATCCGTTGCCAGAAATTAAACAAATAAAATCCAAAAATAGGATTCCATACAAGGCATAATTTAAACATTTGGAAATATTGTGTTATTGTTTAAGAAATCTAGATATGTTGAACCTCGTGTCCAAAATCCGTATTATTAATACACGTATTTATTGTATGTATGTACTTGATTTTTGCTAATTGAATTATATATTGTATATTTAAACATTCCGTGCCGCTTTGATAGCAATTTAAATAGATGAGCACGAATTTTGAATAAACGTTTTTGATGTAATATTATGGATGTATTTTTCATAGTTTATGAATATGTTTTCCTTGAAGCAATTGCTTCATACATGTACATGTATAAGCATATGTACTTTCTGGGCTTATGCATTGGTCAAGATTTCTTAAAGAACAAATTTATAAACAAAATATATGTAATTATTTTAACAAGATTATTGTATTAAATASAAATTATTTAATAAAGGATGAGATTTAGAAGTGTTTAATAATAGGATTTTTTCTATCCAATAATATATATACAACCACAAAAATTATTAAATGAATATAAAATATGGAAATATTTTATCGGTTAAATGATGAAATGAGCTTTTCTTGATTTGCGATATTCACAGAATAGTGCAGCGTTGCCACCTGGTGCGCAAGCGCTGGCAGCACCAATCGTGATAAGTTGGCAGCACCTCGCACAAAATGTAAACAGGAAAAAAATCGAGAAAAATACAAACAATACAGACAAAAGTAAGAAGCGCGTGAAGAAAAAGATAAAAAAATTGATGTGTGCATACGCAAAAGCTACGCAATAAATTTGTAAATAGAAACATACGCACGCACGCACAGACAAGCGGCCATGTCCAATGACCGTGTGGACTCGGGCAAAGAAGTGCCAGTGCCAGCGGCAGTAGCGATCGAACAAGAAACAGAGCTGCCCAGTATAATGTCTATGCCCACGATGCCCGTGTCGAAGGGCATTATGATAACACCACCGCCACCAGTGATGCCACCAACGCCGACATCGTCGCCCAACACACACGGCGAATGGCCCAATCTGAATCCAAATGCGAACACATTCCAGCTGACCAGAGATAGCAGAGGTGGTGGAGGTATAGGTAGTGGAGGAGGAGGAGGAGGAGGGGGAGGGGTCGGCGCAGGAGGTGAGCGAGAACATTTTGCGCTACCCCATTTACCGCCATTGCCGCTGAACGTTGACTATCTGCCGAGTTTGATACATCCGAGCACACTGCCATCGAGCAGCAAGAGCTTTAAAATGCGCCCGCGCATGAAGCGACTGATGTACTGCAGCTACAACAACATATTGACCGAGTCAAACAATCGCAAACTGCGCACCGCCGCCTCCACCTGCAATATTGAGCTGCTCAATCGGATTCTGGAGTCGGGCGGCAATCCAAATGCCGCCGATGAATTTAATCGTAGTCCACTGCATTTGGCTGCCTGCCGGGGCTATATACCCATTGTGCAACAGCTATTGAAGTATGGAGCTAATCCAAACGTGGTCGACTCACTGGGTAATACGCCGCTCCACCTGGCCGTCATTTCGGCCAGCTCAAATAACTTCAATGTGGTTGTGCGTATCCTGCTGCAGGGTGGCGCCAGCGTTCACATGTATGATCGGAGCGGTAAATCGCCGCTGGAACTGGCGGAGGCTAAATTGCGGCTGCTGCGCAATCGCTACGATCATCCCACCCCGGAGACAGCAACGATCCTGGAAGATATGTGCATGCTGACCACGCTTATATTGCGCTACATGGTCAAGCAGCAGCAGGAGCTGGAGGATCTGTCGGCACTCGAGAAGCGTCTACAAAATCTAAGCACCAGCGATGATCAGGAGCAGGTCGTATCACAGACAGCGGACGAGCTGCTCGCGAGTGTCGAACGTCTGTCCATTAACAACAAATAGAAGAAAACAAAAACCAGGCTCAAATTGCAATGGGTAAGCGAAATACATCAGCAATCAGAGCTGTCACTCCATAACCCATTTCTTTGTATTGAATTCTTTGTTTATGACTGAATTAAGTGTCTATTTATCTACAAATATACAAACACAGCTAACTTGTTTATTTCAATCTACATATCTGTTCAATTGCAGTTTATTTTACGTTTCCTAATTTGGCTGCCGTTGAGTTGCAGTTGGATTTGTTTGACGAAACTCTGGATGCGCACTAGAGCTGGAGCATACAACCAACACTCACACACACAACACACACATTGTTTCATGCGATCTTTTTTATTAAGTATTTCATTTAAGTTTTCATTGTTTATGCAAAACAAAACAAAATACACACCAGCAAACAAAATATGTTTACATTTTAAGCTTTACGTTTAGCGCGCCAAAATAAAATACAATTTATGTAATAGAGATGCAATCCACAGCACCTAAAACAAAATCAAGCATTGCAATATATTAAATAAATGATTACAATAAAAGTAAAAAAAAAAATAAATAAATAAATAAATAAAAACACTTTGTTAAGTGTGGTAAAAACTTCTTTAAAACTGATAAACTAAACAGAAAATAAAAAAAAAAAACAAATCAGCAACTATGATTTATCTTAAATTATTATTAAATATGGATTGTTTGGAAAACATCTTAATTTTCAAACAGATTTGAGCGATCTGCCAGGAGGCGTATTGATTCTACATAAATACTGTAAAGGGAAATAGTTAAGAAAGGGCGTTGTAATGTCGTCGCTTCGTGGGCTGTCATAGAGAATTATACATTTCTACGTAGATATGGATGTATATATGTATGTACAAATAAATATGTATACACATGAAAACAAACATATATATATATATATGCATATGTGTGTGTTACATGATGAACATACTCCTTCGTAATAGAAATGTATCGAACTTATCGAACAGCTGTTCGGAGTGTCACCACTGAGAAGATTAAAGTGACCAGCCATCGAGCTATATTTGTTTCTGGCTGCAGCTGAGCTTTTTGTCATTTTGTTGAATGGCCGCAGTGAGTAAGTACATATACATCGGAATATCGAGCATCGCTGCGGCGAGAGAGCGAGTCTCTTTGAGATGTCTTACAACTTGAGGGCTGCATATTTTATTTTAAGTTTTGCGCGCTTAGGGGGCTCTTTCAAAAACAAATGAAGATATTCAAGTAATTTGTTGCTTAAACAGTTTAAATAATCACGTAGATAAAATATGAAGCATGTAGTAGACTTTAAGTCAGACAAATTTGGGCAAGTTGTAAATTTTGTTTGTAAATATTAATACACTCTACAATACTCTAGATTTTTAAAGAAAGGACTTATTCTTTGTATATACTGTGGTTCATATATATCACAATGGAAATGAAAGAAGTGCCAAAAGCAATTGGAGAGATGCCATCGTCTAGTAGGAAAGGTGACAAAGACAAAAAAGAGACAGAAGAAAAAAGGAAAAGTGAGTGCAAATATAGAATGAATATATAAGAATGAATATAGAACATTTATTTGTATATGTATGCAATACAAAGAAGACGAGGTGTGGATGGTTGCTCCATCGGACAGCCGTGTAACACGGGGTCTTGAAGTACTGTCCTCTTTGGATAAGATATATGTGTCTCAGAGGCTGATGCCATTTGAAGAATATACGTCAAAAAAGTTCATGTTTCAGATTAAAAATGGAAAGGGCGAGAATGTCTATAGGGGTCTCGAGAGACCGTCGGTCCTTCAATTTATTTTTGATAGTTCATATCCATTTAAAATGGATCTTGTGGATAAGTCGGGAACGAAATTAGTGGAATTGGACCATCCTTGTAGTTGCGCATTGTGTCCCTGCTTCAACGTCTGTGATAAAAAAATAAAAGTTTATGCACCTCCTGGACATTATATTGGCCAAGTGTTGAAGATCATTTCATACAAATATACTGAATATGTCGTTCAAGACGCTAATGGCAAGGAAGTGATTTTTATTGACGGTCCACCCTTTTATAAAAATATAACGAAGGTCACACTGGCGGTCTGTACTTCTGCGTATATCGCAAATACATAAATATTAATACGTAGATACATATGTATATATTTTTATGTTTTTATCACAATCTGGTAAATAGATATGGGACTCGCATGATCATCAGATTGGAACTATAACCAAAGAGTTTCCAGTATTGGAATCTCTTTTTACGGAGTCATCATATTTTTCTGCTTCGTTTCCTTCCAGCTTAAATACGAATTATAAAGCTTTAATCCTTGGTGGCGTCATTTTGTTGGTAAGTCTTTGCTGTCCAAAAACACATCTGATTCAACACTTCATTTCTATTGCAGAGTATTGCTAGTATATAAACTCTTCTCGGAATCTCATGAATAATCGCAAAGCCCTATCAAAGAATCATCAATTTGCTTTTATGTACAAATGCCCGGAATATATACATACATATATATTTTTTAAGGAAAATGTGTGCATTCATTTTATTTATATTTCAGTCATTTAAATTTGAATATATTTGCTAGCCAATCTTGGTGGGTTGTGCAGGAAGGCTAAGTAGAAAATGCCTAGTTGTTCTTGGCAAAGTACTTTGTTTTCTCCTCCGGATTGGGCACAATCTGCAAACACATGTCAGTGAAATAAATAAAGCAACAATTGCGTCATATGCTATTGATTACCGTATCAGAGCCTGGCTTCCAGCCGGCTGGGCAGACCTCGCCATGTGTATCGGTGTACTGGAAGGCCTGTACGAGACGTATCGTCTCGTCCACAGATCGGCCAACAGGTAGATCGTTCATTGTGATTTGGCGTAAGACGCCGCGCTGGTCAATGATGAAGAGGCCGCGCAGTGTATGACCAACTTCTTCGAGGTACACACCATAGTCCTTGCTTATCTTATGCGTCAAGTCGGAGAGAAGGGGAATCTTCACATTACCCAAGCCGCCCTCCTTGCGCGGCGTATTTATCCACGCCAGGTGTGTGAAGTGCGAGTCAACGCTTGCAGCAATCACTTCCGTATTGATTTTGCGGAATTCAGCGATGCGATCCGAAAAGGCAATTATTTCCGTGGGGCAAACAAATGTGCTGCATATGATTGAAGTATAACTATATGTACGAATAAGGGTTTATATTTAACTTACAAGTCCAGTGGATAGAAGAGTAGCACAACATATTTGCCCAGATATTGGGACAGCGAGAGCTGCACAATCTCTTTGTTGACCACGGCGGTGGCCTCGAACTGTGGCGCAGGCTTGGAAACTGTTGAATATATGGCATTTAATCTGGTAAGAAGTAAAAGCTTAGCGCATCTGGTCACTTACTGACGGCCTTAGTGTACTGCAATTGGTGGTCACCCTTGGGCTCGCCGGCGGGATAAACTGAGCCACCAGCGAATGAGTAACAGGACTCATTATCATCGGCTTTCACAGCTGTTGATGCCACTAAAAGCAGGAGAGCCAAACTGCCGTAGGTAAACATAATGCCGCTGAATACTGTCGCTTAACTGCAAGGAGGGAGACTAATAACATTTACCGCAATTTGACACGCGATGCCTTCGGCTTTGGCTACACCCACTTACAGACACGCACGCACACACACCCACTCAGAGCGAGAAACAAACACGCACACAGACGAAATTTACAGCCACGCAGTCAATTTTGTGGCTCCACAAGAAACAACCACAACTGAATGAATGATTATCAATTGTGCAATTGAAAGGGGGTAGCGGCTTAACTAGTGATAAGCGCTATCAATTTTATTGAGTACACAATATATTTTGTAGTATGTCTATCGAAATTTAAAATTGAAATGTAACTTAAATCTCGAGTGGAGACAAAGCATATACGATGCGCGGATTTACGTATATTTTGTTTCCTTATTCGATCTTTTTTGATATATGCCGATAGTATACACAGATGTTACCTTATATACATATATAAAATACAAATATCTTTAGCTTGAACTGTTGTTGTTGATTTAGCAAACAAAGCGCACGAGCAACACCGGCTAGAGATGCGTCGATTAAAAGATATCGCATGTTCCACGATTTAATATAAGACAAATAGTTCAGATGAACCAATCGTAACGCACGATTCAGCTGCGCGGTCTTTTTGAATTTTATTCGATCTTCCGGTACTTCATTTGTGTTTAAGACCATTTTATGCGGATTATGGTAATTATTTTATTTAAAATATGAACATTAAAATAAACACTAAGTCTCTAAAACAAATTTATCACGTGCGCCGCTTAACGATTTCCATGTTGGCCAACTTGAGTATGCGATTGAAATCAACTTTGGTGTGGGCACGCCAATACTTGCAACGGCCCCACATGACGGCTGGGTAATTCGGACTAGAAATACCATGGAACAGACGCGCTATATTGCGCCCACTGAACGTATTGTCGGGATACATGTTGATCAAAGCATGCACATCAGCTATAATATGATCATCCGGCACATCACTTGGCTATAAGAATGGTCAAGAGTTATAGTGGATCTATTTTGGGAAACCTTTTCTCTAAGACTTACCTCAATTTCTAGCTCCAAGTCTTGTGGATAGTCGTTGCGGAAGTAGTTTCGTACAATGCCCTTCAACTGGGCACAGCGATCCTGGGGAAAATCCACAGAGCAGCATTGTCCACACGAGCTGTAGGCCACGGCGGACAACCCATGAGCCACGTACTGCAACTGGATGAGCTGAGTGCGCTCCTGCATAACCGATCGAGTGTATAACGTATCAAGGGCATCGTCAATTTCTGCTTCTGTGAAGTCACCCGGCGCCTTGATGCGAAAGCCCAGGTCAAAGAAATTCACTGAGATGGGCGAACGCTTTGGATAGCCATTGACTAGTAAGTACAGAATATATGTTATACCAATATAATTTGCATAGAGTACGAGTTATTGCACACCCTGCATCCACTCCAGATTCTTTAGCTGATACTTGACCACTCCGCTGTTCCAGCCAATGCCGGCCGCGATGTCTACGACGGAGAATTCTATAATGTTTGCATCCTCCTTGAATGTTTTGTTCTTAATCTGCAGCGCGATGGCCATGGCCAGGGGAGGACATTCTTTGGCGGCGTGTCTGAGCAGTAAGGGAGTGTATTTAAATAGTATATAAATAGTTTATACTCGCATTATACATAATAACTTACTTCAGATATTTGGGGCCGCCGTAGGATATCACTTTGGCCATGATATACGCCGAGCTGAGCACATTCATACACCAGCGTGGCTCCAGCTCCATGTAGCAGAGCAGCGTTGATATATTCTCGGCGGGAATGTCCAGCGCTTCGACTGTCTTCTCCACCGAGAAGCCGATCTCATGTCCGGGACAGATATGCTCCCGTGTGCCTGCCTCACTTGCAGCCCTAGGTTCCACAGAGTTCTTCTTCGCATCTAGCTGCTTATCGCAGCTGCAGGGCACAAAGATGCGCTGCAGCAGCTTGCGTATGACATGGCGATCGATGGAATTGGCATACACATGTCGACGCAACTCGTTCTGATCCCCGCCCTTGGGGTCCAAGAACAGATGGCAATGCGACAGCAGACCATCACGTCCAGCGCGTCCAATCTCCTGCACATAGCTCTCGAAATTCCGCGGCATATTATAATGGATAACAGCGCGAATATCGGGCTTATTGATGCCCATGCCGAAGGCGATGGTGGCCACCACAATGCGCAGTTCGTTGCCCATAAAGGCGTTCTGCACGGTGCGGCGTCTAGAGGCGGGCATGCCCGCGTGATAGGGCTCAGCCTGCCAGTTCACCCGCTTACGCTTTCTCTTCGTCTGGTCGGGTGCTTGATTCGATTTCTTGTCCTGCATGCAGGTCCTAATGAAACTAGCTATTCGCTCGCATTCGTCACGCCGCGTGCAATAGATGATAATCGATTGACAGCTCTCGAATCTGCGAAGGGTACAGAAGGCAGTTTATAATTTGTGTAAGACCGAGGAACTCAGGATTCGCCCACCTCTGGCTGTTGAGCAGCTGCAGCAGTGCCGCGTCACGGTTCTCATCCTTGGAAACGGAGAGTATTAGATTATCGGGCAAGGGTGTGTCGCTTATTATGCCATGCTCCCCATCCGTGATGCCCAAATGCTCGATGATGCTGATGCGAGTAGGCAACGTCGCTGTGGCCGTCAGACCGAGCACCGTCTGCACGCCCAGATTCTTCTTGAGCACTTTGCATATCATTAGGTAGCTGGGACGAAAGTTGTGACTCCACTGGGAAACACAATGCGCCTCATCGATGCAAGCAAAGGCGATGGGCGGCAGCTGTCGCAAGATCGCACCGAAGCCCGTGGCACGCTCCCCCGAGACCACAGCCTCTGGCGAGACGAGAAGTATATCAATCTCGCCATCGGCTATGAGCTGCTGAATCTTGAGCCGCTGCTGTGGCGTTTGATTCGTGTGCAAGCAGTGGGCGCGCAGAAAGTGCGGCACACCCGTCACCTGGTCCTCCATGAGCGACACCAGCGGAGAGATGACCAATGTAATGGCTCCCAGACGGCGACTGTACAGGTAAGCGGGCAGCTGATAGCACAGCGACTTTCCGCTGCCCGTGCTGAGGGTGACCAACGTAGACATGCCGCTGAGTATGCGCATCACAGCACGATCCTGACCTGCAACGGGGCATCCATATATCAGTGACTCTAATGAACGGATATAGCTTACCCTTGCGGAAGCTGCTGTGTCCAAACATGTGCAGCGCCTCGATGACCTCGTCTGTCGGGTCCTGCAAACTGCCATCCGCCTTGAGCTCGTAGAGCGGCTGCACACCTCCATGCTGAGTTCGTGCTGGTCCCCCTCCATTCGATGCGCTAGCATCCAGGCCGGCTTCCTTGAGGAACTGCTCGGGTATCTTATGGCCCACATAGCTCTTAATGGGCGATTCAACTTTCTGTGCTTGTGCTGCATCAACAGCTGCATCCAAGGCCTCGAAATCAATGTCCCCCTCATCACTAGACATGTTCAGCTGCGCAGAGGGATTCTCGCCAGACTCAGCAATCTCCTCCTCATCACAGCTGCTGCTGCTGCTGGAGTCAGCGTGCTGATAAATAACATTTGTGTTGGCTGCCTGTGGCAGGCGCTCAATGTTGCGACTGTGCGCCGCTAGGGCTCCCTGTGTGGCCATCATCTCGACCTCAGCTAGCGTGGGGAATGGCGACGGGTCCTCCTCCAGCTGCGCGCTCAGCGGCAACAGCGTATCGCCCTTGATCTTGCACTGCTGCGCGAAATGACCCACCTGGCCGCAATTGAAACAGGTCAACACACCTCCATCGCAGCCACCCATGTCCATGTCGGGGCCGGCCAGGGCAGCCACTCGCTTCTTGTGCCTCCACTGCTGCTTCTTGTACTTACTGAAGTTGACGGTCTTCTTGCCACGCGAGAACTTCTTTTTCTGTATGTTGATCGTCACAAAGTTCTCATTCAGCTTGCCCGCCGCGATCCTCGCCTCCAGCTTCAGACGTGCAGCTGCTCGCTTCTCGTTCACAGAGGCAGAGGCAGAGGAGGAGGCGGCAGCAGCTTCCCCTGTGGGCCGGCCACTGGAAAAGTTGCTAATATACTGCTGAGCTGTCTCGTCAGCTTTCTCTAGTTCGTCGAGCTTGATGCGTGGCACGCAGGTTATATCGCCCGACTCGAGCGCTAGCACATATTTGAGATCTTTGGGGTTCAATGGCTGCTCCTGCAGCTCCTCCTCGACCTGGTCGGCAGCTGTAGCTGCAGCTGCTTTCGCTCTCGACTTGGACTTGGCTTTTGCCTTCTCCACTTTTGGCTTGTCAGTCTTTTCTGCTTTCTGTCTGACTGCCTTCGTGCCCTTGGGCTTGGCTGCCTTCTCCACTTTGGGTTTCTTTTCAGCCTTCGGTTTCTGCCTTTTGGCCGTGGCCTGCTTGCGCTTGGACTTGGGCAGCTCTGGTTCGTAGTTTTCGTCGCCATCCTCGTCCGCTGAGAAATCTTTATCCTCCTTGCATTCGTCGGTTGTGTCGGGATCGTTTGGATGAGGATCCACTTCAGGCACCGTTCCTGGCGATTCGCTTGTGGGCATGATGCGTCGACGCTTGGCTATGTGCCTATACTCCGGCTGCTCCGCTTCCTCTTCGCTGTCGGCCACAACAGAATCGGAATTGGAGTCGAAGTCTTCTTCCATTGCCACTTCAACTGGAGCCTGAACTGGAACTTCAATAGGAGCTGAGGCTGAAGCTATAGGCGACTCCTGCATCTTTTCAACTGAATCCGCTGGCTTCGACTCGTCTAGAGGCGTTGGCAATGGGGAGTCAATTGCCCTTAGCTTGCTTAAATCTAAATTGGACAAGCCATAATTTGTTTTCCTAGCTGGAGTCGCATTGTTGTTGGGCTCTTTGACCGTCAGTTTCCTTGGCTGTTCCAGCGAATTTTCAGCTGTGTTGCGTTGCAGCCAACCTTCGTCGACGTGCGTTTTAATGGGCTCCTTTGCTGGTCCTTTGTGATCGGTAAGCAGCAGAGCATTGGCTGCAATCACCTCTGCCTTGTGCTCCTGCGCCTTGCGTATGAGTATGGTCTCTAGATCAGGCAACTGCTCTTCTTGCTCTCCAGCTGCGCCAGCCATCGATCCAGTGGCACTAACATTGAGAGCACCGCGGGAGAGCGGCTTGCGAGGATTACGCTTGGCAAAGCTGCGCGAGGATTGAAACAGTTTGCTGCTGACACTCGGCTTCACGCAGGGCGTTCTCGGCTTGGCTGACTCGGTTGGCGACGTCACCAGTGCCGCTACTGGCTGCTGCTTGCTCACATTTTCGCCCCAGGCGCTCACGTTCTGCGCCAGCTCTTCGACAGCCTCAAATTTGCGTATTACATGATTCTCGTCACGATTCATAAGATTCGTCAGAGCCTGCGGCGTGGGCAAATCCTTGATGTTTGAGAAGGCGTTCTCCTTGCTTTGCTGCATCAGCGCTGTAATGTCCATCGGCAGCTGGGGTCCGCCATTGACACTCTCCGTTTCGGGGCTCTGGTCCATTAAAGTGACGCCCAGATCCTCGGACTGCGTCATTTCCAGCACATCAAATCCGTCCTCGCAGAGCACATCGTTCAACGTCTCCTCAAGAAACGAGGTCTTCAGTTTGTAGTACATCTTGTAGGAGTCGCGTATCTCCTGACTGGCCTCCCTTATGTCGTACTATAGGAAACTTAGTTATAATTTCAGTACCACAGAGCATTCAGTTAAATCTCTCTCACCTTCGAGGGCACACGGCCGTGCTTCTTCTTGAAATCTTTTTCCCATAGTTTGACACGCAGCTTGTACTTTTGATACTTGTCTTTATAAATTGATTCGTCCATTGGTTTCAATTCGATTCTACATTTAAACACAGCTAAGCAAAATTACCTACAGCAATGCACACAAGCATAACACACCTGTTTTTCTGCTGAGCGCGCGCTTTTTTGCAGGTGCTGCCAGACTGCTAAAGTGCCAAAGTGTTAATACGATAGGCGCCAAAATTTGATCTTGACTACAATTTAAATATCCGTATTATACTTTTTTATTATTTAGTTGTGCACGTAATCATTGAGACCTTCGTTCCAATGCGCCATCTGTATCCATCCTCGCGGAGCACAACGTGTAACGTCTATTCAAAGAATTACTTTTTCAGTTTGTAGTATTCATTTGATTTATTTATTTTTTAAATAGTATTCAAGCCTTGCAATTGCAATTGAAAAATGCATTCCATGTGACACTTGGAAAATCAAAAATTTCGTTAAACGAGGAATTACAAGATACAAGATATCAGAGAATTAGTGCACTAATTTTTGCGTAAATACTTAATTCAATCAAGTTAAACCTTCAAGAATGTGGGGCGGGGTGAGGACATAAAGGGCTTGCGCGTAAATAAACGTGGATTCGGCGAGAATGTCAACAAGTTCTGTCTCGTTTTTGTTTGTATTTTAATCGTTTTTCAGTTTCCTTTTCCTTCTTTGTTAACATGCATTTTTTGTTGCGGGTTCTTCAACTCATCCACCACCTACATTCTTACATGAGTATCAAGGCAATGTCCTCCGGCTGCATGGCTGGACAGCGCCAGTTGTACAAATAGTACTGCAAATTGCCATCGCCGGCACCAAACTTAAGCGGCACAAAGAACTTCTTATTCTCCATCAGATCGAGAGCATTGTAGACATCCATTTGGACGTTACGCGCAGAGATCAGGGCATCGTTCATTAGTTCCAGCCAAGGTGTCTTTGTGGACACATTGTAGAATGAGTACGCGGCACGTACGGTTTTGTGCACGGCATGATGCATCACGGACGAGGGCAGACAATAGTAGCTGGTCAGATCGGTAATGTTGCCCTTCTCATCGGCGACTACGAAGCAATCGACTATGCCCTCCTTGGGCGTGAACCAATGACGGAACTCCTCTTTGGTGAACACTGGGCACAGGGAGAAACGCTTTAGATACTCCTCCAGCAGTTTGTGCGCCTTGTCCATATCCTTAGACGTGATGCGACGATAGCCCTTTGTCTTGGGCTGGTCAGGCAGTTTGTACAGCTTCACAGTGCGTTGCATGGTCATGTTGCGAGCCAAATGGGAGAAACGCACATCCACCAGCTTCTTAGGATTCAGCGAGCGGTGCCAATAGCGACAGGTGGCCACAGGCGTTGGCAGAACCACGCCCGCAGTGTACGCAGCCTGAAATATTCCGGTCAGATTGACGCGACGTGTGATCTCGCGTATCAGCACAGGGGCAACGCGCTTGCTGCGCAATTTCTTGTGCACACAGAGAAAATTGATGTCCACCACTTTCAGCACCTTGTCGTACGAGCGCAGCTTACTTGGTATGGCCGAAATGAAGCCCACTAGTTTGCCCGACTTCTCGACCCGCACGCCCACATGCCAGTCACGCTTCCAGCCAGGTGGCTGCAGGGACCACTTCAAAAACTCTGGCTGATAGTCGAAACGGAACATGGCATCATCGTCCTCCACATAGTTCTCGTTGAGCAGCGTATAGAGCTCCTTATTGTCGTTGGGATCGTTCACATCGATTGTCACCCATTTGAAACCGCTGGGCAAGGTGTACGGCTCGGCACGTATCTCAGAAATCTCTTTGTTTGGCTCGATGCACTCATTTGTGGTCACCAGTTCGTTTAGCTTTGGCACCGGTTGCGTTGACCAGAATGTAAATTGCTTCGACTGTGGCCGTGTGAAGCTCACTGCTTCATTGACTGCCTGCAGCAGTGCTTGTTTGCCTAAAATATTACATATATTATTATTAAATACTCCGTATATTGATCTTCCTATTCAGCATGGTCCAGGCCGCACACATACAATCACAATCACAGTATATTCCTGGTCGGACCTAACCTCATTCTGTGTGCCGCCCATTCCAATTGAATTTTCGTGCACTGTTTTACTTACTAGAGTCTAACGATATATAGGCACCATTTTTGGCCAGCGTTGACCGTTCTGGTGGTGGTGCTGCTGCTGCTGCTGCTGCGGGCGCCGACTCGTTCTCATTGGCCTCATTGGCTTCGTTTTCCGCCGACCCAGGCTTCTTTATTTTTAAGCCGGCAACGGCGCTTGCTAGCATTTGCGCCGATGCGTTTGCCAATTCTTTAGTCTTCTGCCTTAGTTCATGCTCACTGTTATCATCTGGACTGGCTGCGGGTGCATTATCGTTCGGCATTTCTCTGTTGCGTTTGAGGATTTGTAAGAAGTTTATTAATATGTGCTAGCAAAAAAATAATTGCAATGAAATCGCAAAACTATTAGCAGCTGACTCACTAACGCAGCTGCCAGATCTCGCACATAAAATGTACAACTAAATAATATTTAATGGCCACCCTAATTTGTAGTTTGGCAGCAATCGATTTTCATTCTCATTTAAATATATTTGTAAAAAAATGTGTGTGAGCTGTTTATATATATGAAATTTGTAAACATGTTAGCAACAATACTTACCAGTTAAATTCAAGTGATTAACAGAAAATTTAATAAAAACTTACAGCACTGTCTATCGATAGTTGTCGATAGTGTCGTCTCAGACATGAAACGTTGACGTTGAATTCAAATTTCAGCTTTAATTGTTAAAGTATATGTTTGTAAACATGCTTAAATAATTCACATATTTCTGTATTGCAATAGAATAAAACACCAGATGCTAGTCAATTTATTGGATATTTAATACCACCAACAGCACAGCTGTGCTGAACAGCACGAAAACAGCTGATCGCAACTCGATGCGCACTAAAATTACATCGCTGAATGGTGGGTAAACAACACTACAGAGAACATAAATAAACATGCACAGTTGCTGATAAGAGCAAATAGCGCACGCGAACAGCGACCGCGTCTCAATTCTAGCAACGTCAGCTATAGTTGTCGTACACAGAATGAGCCTGACAAAGAAGCGGATTAAAATTGTTTCGGGCAGCTCAATTATTGGCCTGGCCCTCATCTATTTGTACAAATTTGCGATCGCTCCCGCCACTAGCGTGCCAAGAGCTAGTTCCGTTGCTCACGGGGTCGAGGAGCAACGTCAGTGGCCCCCCACCGAGGATGCTGTTCAGCGCAATCTACAAATCGCCTACGAGGCTCAAAATGCGCTTCTGCATCAGCAGCGACAGGAGCTGCTGCACACTAAAGAACAGCTGGCCCAGCTGGAGGAACAGGTGCGCTCCCTGCAGGCCAGCACGCCACGCAAATATCCGAAGGTCAAGTATCTCAACTATAAGAATCGGAAGCGCATTTTGATCACCGGCGGCGCCGGCTTTGTGGGGTCCCATCTAGTGGACGACCTGATGATCCAGGGTCATGAGGTAATTGTGGTGGACAACTTCTTTACGGGGCGTAAGCGCAACGTGGAGCATTGGTTGGGTCATGAGAACTTTGAGCTCATCCACCATGACATTGTGAATCCGCTGTTCATCGAGATCGACGAGATCTATCATCTGGCGTCGCCCGCATCGCCGCCCCACTATATGTACAATCCGGTGAAGACAATAAAGACAAATACCATGGGCACCATCAATGTGCTGGGACTGGCCAAGCGGGTCATGGCTAAGGTGCTGATTGCCAGCACCTCGGAGGTCTACGGAGATCCCACAGTGCATCCGCAGCCGGAGACCTATTGGGGTCATGTGAATCCCATAGGTCCACGCGCCTGCTACGACGAGGGCAAGCGCGTCTCCGAGACGCTCAGCTATGCCTATGCCAAGCAGGTGAGTTCTGACGTCATTGACTACCTGATGTATATTCCACTTGGGCTATGAGCGGAATGTGCCTTATAAGGAAAGCCCAATTAAGCCAGTTGGAATTAGTTAGCGTGGTGAACTGATAGAAGAAAAACTATTCTCCCTATATGTATCTGAACTGATATTTTAATGCATATACATATATACATATGTATATCATTCTAGGGCTAGGCGACTACCGCTGGCGTCATTCGATTATCTGATTGGGATCAATCCAATTGGAATGTGCAGCGATGCATTAAATTAATTTGTTTGAGTAGAAGATAAACAAATCAAGCATAACAAAAGACTAACTGGTTTAAGCGGGCCTTATCTATATGGTATAAATGTATATCAGGTTTCTACGAGGCGAGGGTGACTTGAAAAGTTCCCGTCCTACTGCATCGTGTGCTGCCGGAAAACATTCCGAAATTGACCTTCAGTCAGAGACAATGCCTCGGAGTTCCGGATGCCAGCACTTGAGTTAGCTAGCGATAAAGCAGAACTGATAAGATAGGGAATATTACATGCTTACTGTTTTATCCAATGGGAGTTAATGGTAATGCCTGCTCCATTTGCTTTTAGGAGAAGGTGCAAGTGCGCGTGGCACGCATCTTCAACACATACGGGCCGCGGATGCACATGAACGACGGCCGCGTCGTGTCCAACTTCATACTGCAGGCGCTGCGCAATGAGACGATCACGGTTTATGGCAACGGGAAGCAGACGCGCTCGTTTCAATACGTATCGGATCTGGTGGATGGCCTGATTGCACTGATGGCTTCCAATTACACGCAGCCCGTGAATCTGGGCAATCCCGTGGAGCAGACGATTGGCGAATTCGCCAATATCATCAAGCATCTGGTGGGCGGGCAGAGCGAGGTGAAGCAGATCAAGGCCATGGAGGATGATCCGCAGCGCCGCAAGCCGGACATCACGCGCGCCAAGAAGCGCCTCAACTGGGAGCCCAAAGTGCCGCTGGAGTCGGGCCTGCTGCAAACCATATCATACTTCCGCAACGAGCTCGCGCGCAGCGACCGCTTCCAGGAGAGCTCCCGCAAGTACTTTGAGTCTCCCGATCTGCAGCGCATTCGGCCCTAGATGAAACTCCTCGGCCAACATCAATAATATGTGCCTCTCAATTATTGTAATTGGAACACACACACGTCTCTAGTCTGCAACAAATGTAAAGGTGACCAACGATAGCGCTAATCTTATGGCTTCCCCATCCCGCTGCTCTCATTCACCATGGCCCCCGCCCATTCAGTTAAGGCCCCAACTATATTTAAGTCACAACACAGGGTGTTCTCGGCCTGCCGCCAACTAAGGTTCCAGCTATCAACGTGTTGATAGTTCTCTCCTTCTCCCTCTAGTTTCCATGTTACAGTTAGTTCAAGTGCTTCGTGGTGGCAGTCTCCGAGTGTGCAATATCCTGCACTCCAAGGACAATGTCGTACAGCTTCTATATTGTCTTTGCCTAAGCTAATTGAAATCTATTCTATGTGTTAAGTCTGCCTTCTCCCTGCCCTTGCAGTTGGCCCAGTTTAGACACACACTTGTGCAAACTGTATTTGCTAAGTATACGTATGTTAGTCCGACTAAGTCAGCTGGGCTCATTCCGCTGCTCTTCCCTCTTGAATACTTCAGACTCACATGAGCTGCTCAGTTAACTATATAGCCCATAGACGCGTAGCAGTCTCAGTGAATAGATTGGTCCTCATCAAATCTTGATCATACATATCCTGACTCTACACAAACTGTATCCACCTGCAAGGGTATTTCGACTTCGGCCTGGGCCGCAGCCACCACTTATCTGTTGTACAATATATTAGTAGAGTAGTTGGTAGTTGATTAAATGTGGTTCTTTAAGTTTTCGAATACGAATGACTCTTTACTCTTTTTACTCTACGCATTAGCCACGTACACAGACAAACTATATACACTATCTATGAGCTACACCTTTGTTGAATGCTTATAACTGTAGTTTAGTAACTAAATTAGCTTATATCGATATTTGCACCTGAACTTAAAAGCTAAATCGACTGGCAATCTGCTACTAGAGCTGGAGCTGGAGCTGGAGCTGGCGCTGAGGCTGACTTTCACCTGGCCAGTGGTTCGAGCATCTCGAGGAACAGCTTCTTCATGTTGATGTGCTCGTCGCGTGCCACGCCCCGCCAGAAGCGACGCAGTATGTCATCCGCCTGTCGCAGCGACGGCAGCAGCAGGAGCAGCTGCTGCTGGTGGGAGACGGCCGAGGAGTGGCGCAGCAGGTAGACCACGTCGTTGAGCGAGTTGAGGATGGTGTCGCGGAAGGCGCGCAACGAGCTCTGGTCGTCCAGCAGTATATCACAGTTGGACAGCAGCAGCGCCTTCAGCAGATAGTACTCCTCGCGCCGTGGCGAAATGCGCTCCATGCGCTGCGCTATTTGAACGCAGTGATAGTAGAACTCCGTATAGCCGCACTCCTTGGCCAGCAGCTCGTCCATCCAGACGTCGGTGGCGAAGCAGAGTTTGCCATTGAACGGCAGCGAGCGGAAGGTTGTCTGCAGCGTCAGAATCTCTGCCCACGAGACCTGCAGCAGCTTCATCTGATCATTCAGTGGCAGGTCCAGGAAACCTGGAATCTGCTTGGCCCAGCCAATGACGCTGACCAGCTCCTTGTCGTAGAGATCGCTAAGTACACCAAGTATCTCGTTCGGATCGTTGTTGTTGTTCTGAAAAATGCAAGTGCCATTGGAGGTGCCGTTGCTGACCTCCAGCTTCACGCTGCCGGAGGACGAAGAGGCCTCATCATTCAAGCTGGTCGTGTGGGGCTGCTGCGACTGCTGCTGCTGTGACTGTTGCTGTTGCTGCTGTGCCTGCACGCTGAGCGCATCGGGCTCATAGCTGTTGAGCACGTCCAGTATCTTGACGTCGCCCAGCGATGTGGTGCTGGACTGGTAAAGCAGTTGCATGGTCTGGTACGAATTCGACACCGGATTGCGTCTATATTTCTGACGGCCGCCGCGCACGCGATCCAAGCGAACGCCCTCCTGGAATGAGGAAGACTGTTATACAATGAGGCAGACAGAGAGAACGAGCGTACCTTGAGCATGCCCATGAGCAGGCACTTTTGGAAGCGACACGCCTGGCAGGCCTTGCGCCGTCGCTTGTTGATCTCGCATTCGTTGTTCGCCGGGCAGGTGTACTCGATGTTGCCCTGGATGGTGCGCTTGAAGAAGGCCTTGCAAGCCTCGCAGCTGGCCACGCCGTAGTGGTAGCCCGATGCCACATCGCCGCAGACAAGGCAGAGGCGACGCATCTCGTCGCGCACCGACCCGCTGCCCGCATTAGCACTCGAGTTTTGGGCGCCGCTGCTGCCGCTGTTGACACCGTTTCCTTTGTTGCTGTCGCCATCGTTGCTCAGCGAGACGTTGTGCAGGTCGCAGGACAAGGATGTGGTCGAGCTGCAGAGCTGGCGCTCTGGCGACACGGATGGCGAGGACTTCATGCCGCTGTTGCTGTTGCTCGAATTGTTGTGGGCGGTGGTTGCCTTGGAGCTGGGACTGCAGCACGAATTGCTGGCGCCGCCAGCCGATGATGTGTCCACCTCCTGTTTGATGTGCAGCACACTAACCCCGTCGGACATATTCGAGCGCGAAAGTTGAGCTGCAAGCGGAACAGTATGAGCGTTTAGCTATCAGGGGACATTCCAATTCACGCATACGACTCTTGATTCTTGCTGATTGGATTTTAAATGTCAAAAGTACATGGGCGACGTCGCTACATGATAAAAAAGAGCGACAGCGCGGCTAATTATTAATGAACGTGAACAAGAGCGACGTGAAACAAAACAAAAAAGTAAAGCACGCACACATACAAAGGCACAGACACAGCTAACAAATGCAATTAGAATTGTGGAATCCACTCAGAATGCTGTTAGAATTACCCTCTCTGTTCATGTGCGTGTGTGTGAGTTTGTAAGCTTTACCTACTCGCACTCGCAAATACTAGCCCATGCGCTGGCCCTTTCACGCGTCCAATTGGATGATGACAGAGACGCTCAGCGCGGTGGAAAAGTACAATGCCGCGATAACGGTACTATGCGTAAGAGTGTTTACACTTGGCAAATAATTAACAGTTACGCTACTCAGTAAATCACGACTGGAAGGCCTGATTAAAAATAAAATACAAAATGGCCAAAGAATCTAGCTATAATGCTATACGCAGAGAGATGCACGTTTTTAGTGCGCGTTCTCATTTCATTTCTTATCACAATCCAGGTGGGTGTGTGTTTGTTGATAATAGGTGTGTAGCCACTGTCTCTATATACTTACATAAAGATTTGTTGAAGATCTTGATATTTGTAAATGTAATCAGTGAACGTGCTTGTTCCACACAGTTTATTGTATTCCAATGATCCAATCAGAATCCAGTCAACACATTTTGATACATAACATATATACACTCTCACATACATGCATACATACTCTCATGCATATGCATTTATTTTGGTTCGAGCACTTTGTTATGGCTTTTGTTGTCTGCGTGCGTCTGCATCTTTTTGTGCTTTGACCATTCAGCAATATTTGTGTTTAGCAATGCGTCTTGATTTAGCTAAAGAATATCCTGTATTTCCTGTTTTGCGTTTATAACTATTATGCATATTGCATTTTTTTTTTACTTTTTCAACTATGTTAACTGGCAGCTGCTGTTTTCGCATTGGTGTAAACGCGGTGAATTTCTATCATCCTCTAAGCACAATGTGAATTAGGCGACCACTATGGCTATTGGTTTATCATTTTTATCTGTTGACGCTAAATATTTACAGAACTTTAACGCAGTAAAATAAATATATGTACATATATATAAAATCCAATGTCACTATCGATAGGCAACGATAACAAATGTCGCACGACAATTATCGCAATTCAGTGTCGCGCATATCGATGGATAAGACGATACTCTGAATCTCTAGGTATCGCACGCAAATTAGCCCCATCCCTAGTGCAAAACATAGCAAAAACAATTGCGCGATAGAAATTATTTTAGAAATACAAATAAATAGCCAGTTTTTACAATAGAACCATTGAATAGTGTTATCGTACACGTTGTCCAAAGCTTTGGCCGTGCATAAAAGGTGTTTTTGTTGAAAAGTAAGTAAATGCTTAGGCGATACGTGTTCATTTCGTTTGTTGTTGTTGGTTTGGGGTTTTATCAGAGCTCAACCCAAAATACATCATTCCATATGTATATTTGCTTTGTTAGTTCGCTTGCGTCTAATACGCAATCGAAATATGCTGGCCCAGCCCCTGAGCTGTTGCATATTTTAAAGTTACTTCACGTCTCAACGGTAATATCTAAATCAGAGCTATAATTGCTTTGTTTTGCTCCAACATACCCTGAAGACAATGGAGGTATAGGGTATACAAATTTTGTGCATATATTTGTATCAGTAAATAGAATAAATATAAAATTTGCGAGGTCAGTAAGAATCCATGAGTTAGTCTATGACTGTAGAGATATCTGTGCATATAGAGGGTATTTAGGAATAGGAAATTGTCATTATATGGTTTATACAGGGTATTCTAAACATTTTTACCATTGCAGCCCAAAGAACAGAGAAGCAGACACAATGATGAGCCTGCTAGGGCGACCCGATGTGGATGCGGGTGAGGTGTTTGTCAATTTCAATCAAAACATAACGTGAGTGTGTGTAAATATGATTAAATGCAATCTATTAAGTATTGTTCTCGCTTAGTTCGCTGGCTGTGGCGACCAGCGGTAGTTACAGCCTGTATAGCCTGAGCTCTGTTGACTCCACGCTGGACAAAATCTATAACACAAAAAGCGATGATCTATTCCTCATCGAGCGACTCTTCGAGAGCTCCCTGGTTGCCATTGTGTCGCAGCGAGCGCCGCGCAAATTGAAAGTTTGCCATTTCAAAAAGCAGAGCGAAATTTGTAATTACTCTTACTCGAATACGATTTTGGCTGTGAAGCTGAATCGGGAGCGCTTGATTGTCTGCTTGGAGGAGTCGCTCTACATCCACAACATACAGGACATGAAGGTGGTGCACACCATACGCGATACGCCCTGCAACCAGCTGGGCTTGTGTGCACTCTCCTCCTCGTCGGAGCACTGCTACCTGGCCTACCCGGGCAGCGTGACAAGTGGCGAGGTGCAGATCTTCGATGCCATCAACTTGCACGCCAAGACTATGATACCCGCCCATGACACCCCATTGGCGGCCATTGCTTTTAGTCCGTCGGGCACAGAGATCGCGACGGCCAGCGAGCGCGGCACTGTGATTCGTGTGTTCAGCTCCCAGGATGGCAGCCGCTTGTTCGAGCTGCGACGCGGCCTCAAACGTTGCGTCTCCATAGTCTCGCTCTCGTTCAGCACTTGTGCTGAGTACTTGGTGTCCAGCTCGAACACGGAGACGGTGCACATATTCCGCTTGGATCGCAGCGCTGCCGAAAACAGCGATCATGGCAAACAGTCGAGCGACGATTGGATGGGGTAAGTTGAAGAGCTGTGGACTGCGAGGCTCAGTAGTCAGCTTTTGTTGTCTGTTTATTTTGGTGACGGTGTATATAGACATGCACATATAACACATATACGCTATATATACACTGACTCTCACTATCTTTCACCCATACAGAATTTTTGTGTACAGTGAAGACTTTGCCAAAGAATAGCTCACATATATAGTCTGCTTGTTTATCATTTGCTTTATCAATTTGAAGTTCTATTTTAATTTATTGAAATCTATTAGATGTCAGGTTAATATCATTTTGTTAGATTAGTTCTTGAGCTCTTGTTTTATTTGGGCCCTTTCGCTGTGTCGATCCTTCGGTTGTTTATCTTCTCTTTTCTTTTGTTTCTTTGTGTTTGGCACTTGACATTTATCTATTTTTCTTTTCTTTCATTTCTTCAATCAACCACCCACAAACCACAACCTCAACCACAACTACAACCACAACCACCACCACAACTACCACTCATCAAATCTATTCTCTCATGCAAAGTTACTCGTTTTTTAGATTCTTGAGCAAAACGGTGACCAGCTACTTGCCCACGCAGGTGACCGACGTGTTTAGCCAGGGACGCGCTTTCGCGTCGGTCACGCTGCCAGAGGCGGGTGTGCGACGCATGTGCGCCATAACCACGATACAGAAGCAGCTAAGGTGGGTCCTACACTCAACACAACACAACATATCCGAGTTCAATTATAATTATTATTGTATTCTCTTTGCAGACTCTTGATTGCCTCGCAGGATGGCTATTTGTACGTCTATTCCATACCCTCGGTTGAGGGCGCTGAGTGCCAGTTGCTGAAGCGTCACGATCTGCGCTTGGACGACAGCTACGCCATGGATGTTAAAGGTGCTTTATAATTCCATTTGAATCACACACACAACATCAGACACACACACCTACAATTGCAATGTCAAAACAAATTATTTAGTCGATTCACATCACACTTCAGGTCTGAACAGTAATGTTAGCATTGGCGGTGCGGCTGGTGTCCCAAATGCCGCTGCTGCTGCAGCTGCTGGGGATGGCAAAGCCAATGAGAAACCGGGCAGTTCGTCCAGCGGCGGGGGCAACGCAGGTGCCAGCTATGCCTCGGCTGTAAAGGGCGATGAACCGGCTGGTGGTTCATCCTCCTCCACTTAGGTGCAATTGAACTCACGCCGCAACAACCACAACTGATAACAGAACATGATAAAACATAAAGAAAAGAACAGAAGAAAACGAACTCACTCCTCAAAGTACTAAGGACGATGATGATAAAGTGATTGGATTTGGGTCATGCAGCTGGCGACGACATGTGGGAGACGGTAGCTCGCTCCATGACGTCAAACAAAAATAAGTAAATAAATGAATAGGTCTTAGACTTAGCTTTTAAATGTAATCAATTGACGATTCTTCCTCGGTTAATAAGTAAAAAGTTAAATTGAGTAACGCCTCATTTCTCAAAGCAATTTTTGTTAGTTTTTAAGTTCACTGTTCATGGCGCTGCCATCAATAGGAAAAGAAATGCTTTTGTCATACAATCTTAAGTTAGCTGTTATATTTTTCAATATTTTTTAATATACACTTGCTTTCAATTGAAATTTCTTACTAAATAAATTGCCTTTGTAAATTTATGTGCACATACTCTTTATTTGAACCCTTGACAATCCACCGAAAGCTCATATTCTAATTTATAATTTTTGCTTTAGTAACTTTGCAATACTCAGCATTAGCATATGTATCGTTTGTTATATTGCCAATGCAACTAATAATATTATAATTATATCAAAATAATCAAGTAACAAGATAATGAGTGAAAACATCAAATTTGAAGTGTGTACGCAAAGGAGGAACAATTTTCGGCATATAT